ATTTGACCCCACAATCTCCCTTCTAGGAATATACCCGGAGGAACTCAAATCACACTTGAAAAAGACACCTGCACATACATGTTTACTGCAGCATTCTTCACAATAGCAAAAACACTGAACCAACCATGCTGCGCATCAAAAGTGAACTGGATTTTTTTTAAATGTGGTACATATACACAATGGAATATTACGTAGTCATAAAGAAAAAAATTATGAACTTCATGGCAACTTGGATGGAATTAGCATCTATAATACTGAGTGATCTATCACAGAAACAAAGAACTGAGTACCTCATGTTCTCACTCATAAGCAGACCTTGAATGATTATCCTAATACTCTAAGAAGAGGCTTGGCAGTAGTGGGTAACTGCCAAGGAAGTGGGAGGGATTGGCAGTAGTGGGAAACTGCTGGGGATGGGGCACACGTCATCAACAGGGGTACCTGCATTATGAACACTTGTATACCTAACTCTGAATTGTACCTCATATCTTTAAAATAAAAATCTTTTAAAAAATAAGTAAATATAGACTCCCTCTGAATAACATATGCATGCTAAACACCATATTGGCCGCTAATTTGACAGTTTTATTTCCACTTTTGTAATTCCACATTAATCTACTTTGAACTAATAAAGTCACCTTCACCCAACAAGAAGAGGACCCTATGGCCATTAAGAGAATCCAAGAAGGCAGAACACAAATTGTGGTCTCACGGCCGACGGTTGCAGGTTTAGATGTAGATGGGAAGAGAGTGGTGCAGGCACTAGCAGCCATGTTGTTGGGATGTTCAGGTAAGTGAGAATGACTGATAGATGCAGCCTGTGGTCCTGAGAAGTGTCTCCTGTCTTGATGATACATGTATCATCTATTTACAACCTACTTTTAATATGTACTTATACCTGCCCTGTACATACTGTGATGGTTAATTTTATGTCTGCTTGACTCACCTAAAGAATGCCCAGATCGCTAGTAAAGGGCAATTGGGTGTCTCTGTGAGGCTATTTCTGAGAGAAATTAGCATTTAAATCAGTGGACCCTCACCAATGTGGATTGGATATCATCCAGTGAGTGACCGAGCTGGGGTATCACCTTTTGGGGCATTAGTACTACTGGTTCTCGGGTCTTTGGGCTCTAATGGAATTATGTCACCGGCATCCTACTACTCCAGCTTGCAGATGGCATACTATGGATCTTAGCCTCCATAACTGTGTGAGACTATTCCCACAAAAACTCTCACCATATATATATAAATTATGCATATATTTATATAAAATTTACATATGTTTTTGATCCGAAACATGTAAGCAATTTCACTGAAGGATTTCTGAGATCTATTATAGATCATTTATGTTTATGTGCCATCCTTCTATGGAGAGTAAAAGAACCAGGAAGCTGCACCTTCAGAAATGTTGCTTAGCAGCGGCAAGACACAACTTTCTCAGGCAAAATAATTATCTGAAGATGAGAAACAGAGAAAGAAAGAGAGAGAGAGAAGAGAGGGAGAGAGAGAGAAAGAAACAGAGACAGAGAGAGAGAGAGAAACTATAATACAGTAATATAATTTTAAAATCTGCTCTTCTCCCAAACCAGAAGTGTCCTGAGGCAGTGTTTGGGATTGGACAGTTAATCACTGTGTTTCTTTGGAATAAACAAATTATCTGCATTGTAATTTCCCCAAATAGTAAATATTACAAAGGAACAAACATTTCTGATCTCTCACTTTTATCTATTGGAAAAGTATTGACTCAGTAACTGTTTACTATTAAATGATTTGTTTAAGGCCAAAGTGCATCTGCATGATAAATAAAATCACTCAAGTATTTGTGGACTTTAATTGAATTGGAATTCTTCCCAATGCAAAATGCACAAGTTGTTCAATCTGAGTTGGCATCTTTACCTTGCCTTAACAGTAGAAACTTGGGTCACAGTCTTCAGTTCCCATTCTCATTTTCCTAATCTGAAAAATAGATTTTTAAAAATCTAACTTTTGGGAGGCAGATGCGAGAGGATTGCTGAGCTCAGGTATTAGAGACCAGCCAGAGCAACATGACAAGACCTCATCTCTACAATAAATAAATAAAAAAAAAAATTAGCCGGGTGTGGTAGCACATGCATGTGGCTCCAGTTACTTGGAAGACGGAGGTGGAAGGATCACCTGAGCCCAGCAGGTCAAGGCCGCGGTAGCTGTGAGTGTGCCACTGCACTCCAGCCTGGCCGACTCCGACTCAAAAAAAAAAAAAATGTCATGGGTTGATTATGAGATTCAAATAAAATATTCTCAAAAATACATAACAAGCTTCACAGAACTCAATGAATTGTAAGAACTGTTATATTTGAATTAAGTAAAGCAGTTTATTTCCTTTTTCAAAAGCACTTTGAAGTTTAGGCTCTTTGTTTAAAAATCTAATAGTGACTTGACTTGAGACGATGTTTAAGTGAAGCCCTTTTAGAGAAGTGACATAAAGTAAGGCATTTGATTTTATTACATTTAGATTCTGATCTGAATATATCATGTACTTGTCTATGACATCTGAATATGGTAGTCTTACCAGAGTAAAGTATTTTTGATCTGGTCAGGTCCTCGCCCTTATCACTAAGCTCATATACCTAATAATTGCCTATTAACCTTGTAACTCTGCAACAACAGAAGCTACGGAGGGAAGCAATTGACTCTCTCTCTTTCTTCTTAATTTTAAAGATTTTAAGGAGTACAATTCAGGATTAGGTATACAAATGTTCATTATGCAGGTATCCTTGTTGATGAGGTATGCCTCCCTTCTCCCTGGTAGTTTCCCACTACTGCCAATCCCTTTCTTCGAGCATTATAACTGTTCAAGGTCCACTTATGAGTGAGAACAGGTGGTACTCAGTTCTTTGTTTCTGTGATACATCACTGAGTATGATAGACTCTCTAAATCCTTCCAAGTTGCTCCAAAGTCCATATCTTTGTCCTTCTTTATGACTGCATAATAATCCGTTGTGTATATGTGTCATTTTTTTTTATCCAGTCCACTTTCAGTGGGCAGCACGATTGGTTCCATGATTTTGCTACTGCGGATAGTGCTGCAATAAACATGCGTGTGCAGGTATGTTTTTGTAGAATGATTTGAGTTCCTCCAGGTATATTTCCATTAGGGGGACTGGGGAAGCTCTTGACTCCCAGGTCCTTCCTACTGACTTCCTCTGAGATTGATCTTTCCTGTTGCAAGACTGAGCATAGGTCATTACCAGTACTGTACCAGTAGATGACTAAGCAATATTGGAAGTCCTGTGTTGGGCTCTACAAGTGCATGGCCCCTAACATGGAGTTTCCTTCCTCTTTGTCCTCCATTGTATGGGCACCTATTGCTTTTTTCTTAAATTGGAACCACCAGATGTGATGTGTCCGTTGTCCACCTCAGTTCAAATTCCAGCTTTACACTTGATTAACCAAACAGGGATATATCTAAAACTTCTCAGAGTAATTCAGCCATGAGCATTGCTTTTACAAAGTGTTTTCAAAGACTAAATGATCTAACAGGTGCATCTAATAGGATTAAATGAACTAACAGACACAAATGGGCCACTTAATATGTCTTCATTCACCCTTTTGGTGTTAGTTATACACTTGTATCATATTGAGGTAACTAGATGATGAAGTTAAGCTATTTAATCCATCCAAAAAACATATGTTGGACTTACGCATGATTGATACGTTTACTTTCAGTGATGATGCTTCTAGGACTATTGTCTATACTACTTTGTAGTTTTCATCGTTGGTCCTTTGTACTGAATTTTTGAGAGACAGGATTCACTTTTAGTCTTAATATTGGTCCTTACTGGTCATTGGGCAGTGTACTGGTATTCAGAAGAAAATTAGACACCATAGACCTTCATCTGGTGATTTTTATTGGATGTTTTATAGAACTAATGTTTTTATATTGTCAGTAGGTGAAGTGATCCAGTTTCCTTCATTTGAGTTTGCTTTTACTCTACTAAGAAGAAAGATGTCAACTTTTAAATGGTATAATTTAAATTTTTAGGTAACAAATTTTATATTGCTTTGATTATATCTATCTATATAACCAAAGATACTAATCAGTATTGATAGCCTTAGTGTGAGAGTACGACATCCTGCTATCAGAATTTTGACAACTCTATTTTTTGCCAGCTTACATATTTTATTGACTACCTCCAGCATTTTAATCCACTTTTTCTTATGAAAATGTTTTCAAGCTTTACTACCACATGGCAATCTCACTATTTGAACTCAAAAAGTTCTGCTTGACTTTTGTTCATTATTAGTTTTGTATTCCACATTTTCTCTTCTTTTGGGTGTATTTTAATTTTCTTGGATTTGGGTCCTGAGCTTTTCTTTGATGGAAGACCTTTTATTACTGATTCAATTTCCTCACTCTTTATTGATCTATTTAGATTTTTGTATTTCTCCATAACTTAACCTTAGTAGGTTTTATATGGTCAAGAAGTTATCCATTTTGTCTATATTAACAAATTTGTTAATACACATTTTTCACAACAGCTTATTATGAGTCTTACTATTTCTGAAGTATCAGGTGTAATGTCTTCTTTTTATCTCTGATTTTACTTACTTGAGTCTTTTCCCTTTGTTGTAGTTATTCTAATTAAAGAATTGTTAATTTTATCTTTCAAAATGCTATTCATTTTGTTGGTCTTTTGAATGTTTTTAAGTCTCTATTTTATTTATTTTTCCACTAAGCTTTATTATTTCCTTCCTTTTACTATTTTGGTTTTAGTTTGTACTTGTTTTTATAGAACTGAGAGTTACTTTTGAATTGAAATTTCCAGAGAGAACTTGAGAATTAATCAATACTAAAGTGACATTTTGATTTTATTTCTGCCAACAGTTCAAGGTATACCAAAGATTGAAAATATTTATGGAAAGGTCAAAGACTTATTACATGTTTGGTGATAAGCTAACACTTGCTACTGATAAAATCTTCAGATTCTATGTTTTTGACTGCATTTACACAAGGCACATCAATGGATCCCTTCATCATCCTGGTAATTTGTCTTTCATGTTTGATTATTTTTTCTATGTGGAATGGAAGCTATGCCAGAAGGAAGCTCCCACCCAGATCCACTCCTCTCCCAATTGTTGGAAATATTCTACAGTTAAATACGAAGGATATCAGCAAATCCATAAGCATGGCAAGTATGACTAATTTTCTTTTAGTTACTTGTAGCAAATGAATTTAAAAACCCTACAATTAAATAAAATGTGGTCCCAAACACCAAGTTTTTAGCAAGAACAGTTTTAAAGGGAAGTGTCCATTGGACACTCAGATATGAATTTAGAGTATATATGGATAGTAGAGAATGAGTTCTGTTAATCTTTACAAAAGGAGGAATCAACAGATCAGAGGCAAATAAGAGCTTACACATGAATGGAGGCTGCAATTTGGGTAACAGTCCAAGACTGTACCACTCAAGAAAGGTAAGGAGACTTACACCTCTGTAGGAATTTATTTAGATTGCATAAATTGTTTGTCATATTACTTCACTGGTGATTTGAACAAATAATGCACCATCAGTCATTAGTAGGAATGTTTGTATGCATCAGTAAGTCAGAAAAAACCTATACACAATGTGTTCATAAAAATGAGGACTTTTTTTCTTATATTGTATATTTTTGAGAACCCAGTTGTTTGATTAGAAAATGTTTTTCACAGTTCATTTGTGGGTCTCAAATTCATTGGCTGTTCAACCTTAAGTTAGTAGCTCAAGATGTAATCACTCATACCCAGCCTGAAATCTGTCTAAGTCACAGATCCATGATAGGATTATTGAAATGGTCAAAAGTAGAAATTCTATGTCCATATTGTGATCAAGGTTGCCTTTCTTTAAAATTTCAAGAGCTTTAGAGAGTACAAATGATTTTGGTTACATGGATACATTGTGTAGTGGCAAAGACGTCTGTGCTTAAAGTGTATCCTTCACCCCATGTGTGTACTTATGCCCAATAGGTGATTTTTCATCTCCATACCCATACCCTCCCCCTTCTTCATCTTCAGTGTCCATTATGCCATTCTATATACCTTTTAGTTCCTGATAGTTCCTTCTTGTAAATGAGAATATGTGGTGTTTGATTTCCCATTCCTGGGTTAGTTCACTTGTCATATGGTTTCCCATTCCATCAAAGTTGCCACAAAGCACATTATTTCTTTCTTTTTCATGCCTGAATGATATCCACATTTTCATTATCCACTGATTAATGGATGGACATTTAGGCTGATTTCACATCTTTGCAATTGTGAATTGTGCTGCAATGAACTTAATGAGTGCAGGTGTCTTTTTTGTGTAATGTAGCTCTCTTTAAAGTAATTATTCTTTGATAAACTCAAATATAAGTGAACTGCTTCAGTGAAAATTTAACAAACAAAATAAACTTCAGATTTACAGGGTACAGCACTGAAATTTCCTAAAGCACATAGTGATTTGAAGACAAGGAAATGACTTAGGTTTCTGAAACATTCACAGTTCCTATTATATTTGCTCAATAAATGAGTCAATAACTTCTCTACTCAAGCTATTTACATAGCAGTAGGTCTCCGAGCCTTGAAGAGATGATCTGAAATCTGTCTTTTTCCTGAGACTGTGAGTTATAGAGCACTCACTGCCCTTGGAAGCTCCTTCTTCCTGTGCTTTGGCTCTGAATTCAAAGAGATTGTGTCAGCAGCCCCAGCTCATTCATTTGCTAATTCACAGCTTTGGACAAGTTTTAAAATCTTCTTGAGATTTACCTTCCATGTCTTTAAACTATAAATAATAATGATTTTGTGCAAGTTGCTAATTGTCTACTCTGCATGAGGAATTTTCAATGATGAAAGAAAATTTTAAAAGATTCTATATTATGGGATTTACAATCTAGAGGATAGGCATATATTTATAAAACACTCATTCAAGGAAGCATATGCTTATAACCTATGCAAGATTGACATGGTAGGAAAAGGCCACATGACTTGAGGGAACCAAAAGTCAGAGGAGCAGTCAGCAAAGGATTCTGTGAGGAGGTGAAGTTAGAGCTAAGATCTAAGGAATAATGAAGCATTACCCAGATGGCATACAGATAAAAAATCCATTTAATGAGTTTTGCAAACTGCGGGAGATTATCTTTTCTCCCCCAAAACCTTGGAAAGAGATCAAAGTGTTTGCACCCCAGACAGTAATAAAGTCATAGTACAAGATGAGATTGGACAGGTAAACAGGAGTCAAGGCGTACAGATCTTGCAAAAATTTTAAGAGCGCTGGTCTTTATCATAAGAACAATATGATGCCACTACCATGCATAAAGGTATGTGGACATTTGTCTGTGAAAAGATCATTCCGGTTGCTTGATGGAGAATGAATGATGAGGCAGCAATAGAAGTCCAACACTAGACAAATTGAAAGACTGTACCTCCTGTATCATGTAATATACCAAGTCAGCCTACATGACAGGAAAAGCCCAACAAGTTAATGGCTAAAAGAGGATCGGAGTTTATTCCTATGTCACATGCTTATCTACAGATGAGCACTAATGGCTCTTCTTCTCTATGAGATCCTTCAAAGAAACAGTTTTATTCAGTCTTTGTAGTTCTCCTATCTTGTGTCCCTAGGCTATTGTTCTCATTTACACAGTCACGGTGGAGGCATCTCCATGCTATCATTTCAACCCATGGGTAGTAGCAAAAAGGAAGGGTGAAAAATGACTTTTTATGCAACAATGTAGAATTTGCACACATCACTTCTGCTAACATCAGTTCATAGAAACTCATTCACATGATCATATCTAGCTTCAAATGAAGCAGGGAAATGTCCATGACCAAGCTGTTATAATCTCATGTATTATGAAAACTTAGAGGTGTCTGGTGCTTAAATGAAGATATGCAGAATGAATACGAAGATTATTAGTCTATACGTGAGGCAAGTTGAAAGGGTTTCCTTTAAACTAGAGAAGAAGCACACCATTTATCGCAACCGAAGGAAGGAGAACTCTGGTGCAATTATTGGTTTGAAGAAAAAAAGCTAATAAGTTAATTGGAACAAAATTCATAATATTGCCCCTTGTCACATAGTAGAAGCTGAGTAAAGGATAACTGTTGATGATGATAATAACAATAGCAATATTACTAAAAATAGTATGATAATTACCATTCAAATATATATTCGCTAATTGAAAAACTGGTTCTAAAATTTGAAAATTTGTATAATAGTTGAATGAATATTAAAATGTTTTTTCAGTAAGTTTTTAAATATTCCCCTCACTTACGTACATTTCAGTTTTGAAATTCTTACTTTTTTTGCATCTCCTGTTCAGGTAGCAAAAGATTATGACCCTGTGTTCACTGTATATCTTGGCATGATGCCCACTGTGGTCTTGTATGGATTTGAAGCAATCAAGGAAGCACTCATTGATCAAGCAGAAGAATTTTCCAGCAGAGGGAGTTTCCCAGTGTTAGAAGAAATCACTAAAAAATTAGGTATTCTTCTCTTTGTGGAATTTGTATGGGTTTGTAACTGTAAAGACTCCAAATAGACTAAGAAATTGAAAACATAAACATTTAGAAAAATTTATGAAGCACACTTTTCATAATTCCCACATAAGACTGAATACTTTCTTTATAAAGGACCATTATTCTATATGTAATCTCTATGCTGGTGACACAACATCTTTTTTAAAACATCAAATTCAGGGAAAACAAATTATTTAACCACTAATGTTCTAAGCCATGTTTATTTTAAGTTATGGCTAGTAAAAATAATGAGAAAGAATCAGAGAGAAAAGAGACAGAAGAAATATGACTAAATTATCCTCTTCACCAAACATTTTGCCTCCTGGTCTGAGTCACAGATAACCAGAGACTATTTTAGGAGACTTGTATAGTGTATTGTGGCAGAGAGGGGCTGATAACAGTTAAAAGTATTCCTTTTAAAGATCAATCTGCAAGCTCTGAAAACCTGCTAGATAGATTTTGCTTGAGAAAACTAAATAGCCAAAGATGGCTTTCCTGGAAATGCTAAATAGTAACCAATTTACAAACTTAACCCAAATCCTTTTTGTGAAGTTATCAGTTTACAATCCCTGCTTCTAATGCATATATTGGAGACCATTTGTTCTTTGAAAATCTGGTTTTGCTAAGTATAACCTTGTAAATTCCAAAGACAATGTATAGTCACATAACCCGACCCCCCCTTACCTAAACTAAGGTATAAGACCCTCTCCTCCCTCCCCTGGGTGCTCAGCCTGGGAGCATTAGCCCGCTGAGTCTCACCAACGCTAACAAAACTGCTACTTCCTAAAATAGCCTCAGTGTCATGGTCTCTCTGTATTCCCGCAACAGTATAGTACACACAGAACTCATATAGCCTTGGAAAAATTCTAGCTTTACCTTCAATATTCTATTCTATAAAAGCATAAGAAATGTTTGAATACAGTAGAATACAAAGTATAAAGCAAAGATCAGCTCTGAAAGAGGAACATGAAGAAAGACATACTGAGTATGGATCAGAATTGATTCTAAGAAAGCTCTTTTGATTAAGTACTTGAGTGATTGGCCTTGAGTTTTTGGTGCTGGTCTTAAACTTGCCAGTTGTCTGGTAGATCATCAACTTCTGGCAAAAAGCAAAAATATCTGAATGGGGTCCTTCCCACCTCTGTATTGTTGTCTAAGAAGCTTCCTGTACACGTTTCCTATGGCTTATTATCTCCCTAATGTGATCTTGTCTCTGGGAATCTGAAGTTGAACTTCTTTGGTGTTAAGACCACTTCTCCTGAGTGAGATTTAACAGATAGAGAGAGAATGTTAAAATGAGGAGTCATACTTATCTGAAGAATAGATGGTTACGAGATTCCTTCCAATGCAGAAGAGCTGTGTCACCTTCTCTTGAGAATTGCTTCCTCTGTTGTTTCTCTTCAAATTCACTTTCAATAAGAAAAGCCAGCCCTGAAACTTAACCTGTCACTTGGACTCACCAGGATTTATTGCTGTGGGATAATAGAGCAAGCATTTTGCCTCCACGATCTTCAGCATCCTTGTAAAATGGAGACAGAACATTCAATTCACTGAGTAATTCTGAGGTTTAGAAGAGCTGATGGATGAAGAATAATTTAGTAATGTGTAAAGTCAAGAATCGTGACTGTAAAATGCTAGGTTGGGTTAAGAGAAGATGCAAGTGAGCTGGGAATTCCTGAAATTGATGCCACTATACCCACACTCTGCTTAAGTGTCAGTATCAATTCCTGTGATGAGTATTCTCAGCTGGAATTAATGACAATGGAGGATATTCTTCTCTCCCCCCCCACTCCCATAGGACTTATTTTCAGCAATGGAGAAAGATGGAAACAAATTCGACATTTTTCCCTAATGATTTTGCAGAATATGGGAATGGGGAAGAAAACTATTGAAGACAAAATTCAAGAGGAAGCCTTGTGTCTGGTGAAAGAACTAAAACCAACAGTGCATGTTTCTTTGTATAATTAACAGTATAGGGTTGAATAAATGTTACTGTAAACACACTAAAAAAATGTTATCTATGGTGGCTCAAATACAATAGAAGTTTATTTTCTGATCACATAACAGCAAGAAGAGGTCAAGTAGGTGGCAAAACAGCCTCTTCAGGCACCAAGTTGATAAGGGCTTTGATAGCTTCAGCATTTGGCTTCCAGCATTATCCAGGGTTCATCACTTGTAGGGTAGTGAAAACAGAAAAAAGCCAGAAAAGAGCAAATATTGGTTAGGCCAGGCATGGAAATGACACCCAAACTTCTTTCATGTTCCATGAGCTATCACACAGTAACAGGGCCATATTTCACTGCAGGAAGAGCTGGAAAATGTGGTTCAGTTGTGCCTACGAGAAAGAGGAGAAGATGAGTTTTGGTAATCAGCTAGCAGTCCTGGCCAAATCAGAGTGAAAAATTGAGAGGACAGTAATAGAGTATACCATAGACTTAGGTTAAGAGCATGCTATAACCCAATAAATATGTAATCGGCTTGTGGACAATAGCACAGCCATTTTTAGTTTTCGGTCTTAAAACATAACCTGTAACTGTTTTAAGTTTCAGTTATGGGAAAAACTGCAAAGCTCCAGTTACAAGCTTCAACCCCTTCCCTTATCTCACTTTCCCCTTAGCAACAACAAATCAGGTGCCAGGGGATAATCACCTAAGTTTCCAGATGTCTCTGCAACTTCCCTAGCTAGTGGGCCAAGGTCAGCCTGAGTCAGGCTAGCCAATCCTCCACGATTAAGCTGACCACTAGAGGTTACTACCCAATTAAATGGTAACAAGACTGGAGAGCCCCCCAAACTCCTCCTCCCTTTGTGTAAAAGCATAAAAGGCATCTGCTTAAGAAAGTCAGGACCTCCGGGTGTACTCTGCTGCGTCGGCTGTCAACAGAGGTCCAGGCTCAAGCTTGCAAAAAAAGCCCCTCTTGAACTTTCATCAGAATTGGCTCTTGGTGGTCTCTCGGATTGAACTTTCGGCCACTACAAAATTAACTTTTCTAGTAACTTCTTGAGAAGTGATGCAAGGGACACCAAATTCTTCCAATGTGCAGGGCTACAATTCGGCTTCCATGGAGGAATGTGGGTGTGAAGAGAGGAAGCTACAGCAACAGAGATCTCTGCCATGTGTAGATGTGTGTATGTGCATGCAGGATTGGAAGAGAGTGGAGGGGTAAGAGTTGAGCAGGAGACCAGGCAGGGAAGGGGTAAGATCAGGACTGCAAGATACATGTGGTTTTATAACTTCAATTTTTCTTTTTTTGAGTTGGAGTCTCACTCAGTCACCCAGACTGGAGTGCATTGGCCGCTCCTGGCCACCGCAGCCTCAACCTGCTGGGCTCCTGCGATCCTTCCGCCTCAGCCTTCCGAGTAGCCGGAATTACAGGCATGCGCTACCACGCCCGGCTGATTTTTGATTTATTGTAGAGATGAGGTCTCACTGCCCAGGCGGGTCTCGAACCCGCGGGCTCAGGCAATCCACTCACCTCAGCCTCCCAAAGGCACGGGATTACAGGTTGAGCCACCGAGCCCAGCTAAACTTCAATATTTAAATATTTTTAAAGAAGTTATTACTTTAATGAGAGTATATCTCTATGAAAATTGACTTTGTGTTTTTAACCCAACACTACATTATTGTCCTGATAGTCTTCCATTTTATTTTTGCTGCTATTAATATATTATTAATATAAAAATGCAGTTATTACAAATATTTGCATGTCTGGTTCCTTGTTTAGAATAAATTGTTGGAAATGCAGTTAGATTTCTGTGAGCTTTGTTTGGGCTTTTGGTACATATAATATGAGAATAGAGGTAAGGAAAAACAGATAAGTAAATGAAGGCTAGGCTATGTTTTATAAATTTATTTTTTAGGCATATTATATTGAATGAATATAATATAATGCATATTTTCATCCAATATGCTTAACTTATAAATGTTTCCAAGAACATTCTTATTAGTATAGTAGTCCCTACTGTTGGATGTGCCAAAGTTTATTTAGCTAATTTGTCATCTTGATCAGATAGGTTGTTTCTAGTCTTTGCTGCAATTCTTCTAAAAAGAAGTGCAATTCATATGAGTTATTACAGATCTCTGACTACTGTCTTGTAATAAAATTTTAGAAATATAGTTAATAAAGCAAAGAATATTGGGTTTGATATTTTGATACAGATTATCTGGGAAAGGTTTTTGCTCACTTATTTTATATTTCAAGCAGAACTTATTAACTGGTTCAGTATTTCCCGTGGCGACTATGATCTTCTGTCAACTTCCTGACCTATGATCCACCTAGTTATAGATAGGTACTGTACTCTCTCAGGGAAGCCTGTTTTCTCACTGGATACCTTTGACTGTTGGAGGTTTCTTTTACCGGTTGAGCAGAACTGTTTTCCTTGTAACTACTACTTTTTCATCCCAGCTCCCTTTTTCCTTCTGGAATTGTAGTGTTGTGGGTATCACCACCCAGAGGCAGCAGGGAACTACCTCTTACCCCAACGCTGGTTCAGATGATACTAATGATGCCACACGCAAACTAACGGGATGTGAAAGTTTTAATACTTCATAATACCTATTTCAGTGAAGAGCAGGGTGGCCCTCAACCACATCTGAAAAGGTTGTGTGAGAGCAGGGCAAGGATACCTACCTGAGGTTTTTATGGGGGTTTAGGGGTGAGGCTAGGTGAGGACTCCTGTGTCAGGCTAGTGCCTGTATGACTTAGACTTCCTCCTTGTGCCAAAGGAGGGAGCACTTGGGTCTCTTGATCGGTTCATGCAGATGTGGGTAGAAGGGCAAGAGGTAGGGGCAAAGTTTTGAAGCTTCCAACAAATCATTTGGGAAGCTTATTTCCAACATTATAAGAGTTTTTTAAATATGTCTGAATATCACTCTAATTTCTATCATTATTCTTCTCTCCTAGAGGAAACCACACTTAATTTTTTCAACTGAGTTTGTGGAATACAATTTTAAGTTTATTTTCTTACTTTTTTAATTAGATTGATCAATTTTATGTGAGCCTCATGAGAAAGCATTCACATCAAGCTAAAGTCCATATATGTAAAGACATAGAAATATATTAGAAATTGAGTCTCGTTCTGTTGCCCGGTCTGGACCTGAACTCTTGGGCGCTGGAGATCCTCCTACCTCAGCCTCACTAGCAGCTGAGTCTAAAGGCATGTACCACTGTGCCTGGCATTGAAAACATTTTAAATTTGGCTTCCTTTTTGTGAATTGAAAAGATTTTAGGGCCGGGCTTTATGGCTCAGCCTGTAATCCCAGTGCTTTGGGAGGCCGAGGTGAGTGAATTGCCTGAGCCTGCAGGTTTGAGACCCACCTGGGCAACTTGGCGAGACCTCATCTCTACAATAAATCAAAAAAATTAGCCAGACGTGGTGGCGCGTGACTGAAGTTCCAGCTACTTGGAAGGCTGAGGCAGAAGGATCGCTGGAGCTCAGCAGGTCCAGGCTGCAGTGGCTGGGAGTGGCCACTGCACTCCAGTCTGGGTGACAGAGTGAGACTACAACTCAAAAAAAAAAGAGAGAAAAGAATTTAGAAAACCATGCAAATAGACTTCTTGGGGGAAAATTAGCAAATAAACTGGACTGGATTGGAGAGTTTTGTATGGGAAACACAATAATTTTTATTTTTGGCATGTGGAGTTTATAGCAATAGTGGCATATCCAGATACTTCCCATTCTTAAAAAAAATTAAAAGTCAATCCACTTATTTTCAACAGTCAATTTAAAATTCAATGAACAATGTATACTAACTTCTCATTTCTATTGATTTTAGCATCTATCTCCCTGTGATCTCGCTTTCCTTCTGGCCTGTGCTCCCTGCAATGTGATCAGCTCTATCATTTTCCAGGATCGTTTTGACTATGGTGATCAGAAATTTCCAACCTTGCTTAAGTATTTTCATGAAAAACTTGAAATTGTAAGCACCTCCAGGATACAGGTAAGATCAAGGTTCTCTACGAATGGGTAATAATGTTCTAGCTAGTCTGTTGCTCGTGCAAACCCCATCCCTCTGTCCTATTAAAAAATGGCCAAAATAGTGCATAGCAAACAATCATGTGTAACCCATCAGTGACTTATTCAATCAATTTAGATGTTTAAATGGAATTTGAAAGGTTAAATAAATGAAAGCAGACAAAAAATATAATCTTGGTGTATTTTACTTATTATATTAAAGTATTTTTCGAAAAATCTGCTTTTCTGTTTTTGTTTTGTTTTTTCTATAGGTTTAAGGAGTGTTGAAGTGAAATATGTCTTGCTATGGTACACTGTCAAAAATGTTAGTAACCGAGCCCCCAGCCCCTGCCGGCAAGGCACCTGCAGCCCCGCGCCGCGCGCGCCCATTCCCGGCCCGGAGCCCTCTCCTTGCGCGGCCCCGCCGGGCCATCCCGTCGCGCCCCCCACCCTCGAACTCAAGCCACCGTGGAGCTCCGCCGCCCTGAAACGTTCACCGCGAGTGGGACCTTATAGAAAATCATGGGGAGACGGGGCAAGATGGCGACGGCATAGGTGAACTGGTGAGATTCTCTGAACGTGAGCTCCCAAAAAGGCTATCACTTCGCTACTCCCATTCCCCAGCCCACCACCAACCGCGCTGGGGGCAGGCCCAGGAACTTCAGTCCCATGCAAGGCCAGATATTGCGCCCCTCCCCCCACTGCTGCCGTTCTACTCGTGTGTGGAAGTCTCCGGTCCCAGCCCCCTCCAGATCCCTCCCCGGCTGCATTGTCTCCAGCCCGGGCACCCGGCATCAAGCCGCCGGTCACACAGGGAGGCTCTGGGCACCCGCCCGTCAGAGACGCTGGTTCCATTTCTGGCTGAAGTCCTCTGTTGGGTCCCAGTGCCACTCTCGCTGTCTAGAGCCTGCCCTTTGGAACTTTGGAGCTCTGGAACACCGGGTCCACCCTGGCTGAGGCACACAGCATGAGACCCCAAGCCAGAGGACCCAGACAAGCGGAGAAAAACAGATCTGCTTAAACTGCCTTGCCATTCTCCAGGCAGAGACTTCCATTGCCCTGCCCACCTAGCAACAAACTTTACCTCATTTCCTAAGGCCAGGTATTGCAGCGTGCGGGAAAGTTTTGGGTCCCTGCTCCCTCCAGCTCTCTCCCCGGCCTGGCACCCAGCACCTCAGGTCGCACGGGGAGGCTCTGAGTGCCTGCCCCTCAGAGACACCGGTTCCATTACTGGCTGAATACTCTGTAGGGACCCAGTGCCATTCTCGTCATTTACAGCCTGCCTTTTGGAACTTTGGAGCTCTGGAACTCCGGGTCCACCCTGGCTGAGGCACACAGCGTGAGACCCCAAGCCAGAGGACCCAGACAAGCGGAGAAAAACAGACCTGCTTAAACTGCCTTGCCATTCTCCAGGCAGAGACTTCCATTGCCCCGCCCACCTAACAACAAACTATCTCAGCTCCTAAGGCAACAGTGTGAAACAGGAGACAAAGCCCCACCCCTATGCTGCAACGAAAAACAAAAGGGAGAGGCTGGAATCCGAGATCACAGAAGTGACTCTAGTCTGATCGCTTATTTTTGACCTATGATTTTATCATTGAAACTGTTGGTCTAGATTACGTTTGGTGTTTACCTTCTGACTTATACTGTTTCTTGATTTTTTTGGCCTGTCTCTGTTTAGCTATCAGTATTCTTTAGGGAATCTTTCTTACCTGTCTTTTTTCACTTCTTCCCAGCCCTGTGTCTCTCTCTCACCTGATAGTTGGTATGTATATCTGTTTTCCCTCTTGCACTTCTCTCTTTTGCTTATTTTGACTTATGATTTTATCATTGTAACTGTTAGTTTAGATCACGTCTGTTGTTGACCTTCTGACCTACACTGTCTCTCGATTTTATTGACCTGTGTCTGTGTAGCTATCTGTACTCCTTAGGGAATCTTCCTTACGTGTCTTTCTTCACTTCTTCCCGATCCTGTGACTGTTTTTCACCTGATAGCTGGTATGTATATCTGTTATCCCTCTCGCACTTCTCTCTTTCGCTCATTTTGACTTATGATTTTATCATTGTAACTGTTGGTTTACATCACGTTTGTTGTTTACCTTCTGACTTACACTGTTTCTCGATTTTATTGCCCTGTCTCTGTGTTGCTTCAGTACTCTTTA